ACAAATATTTAATATATTAGAATATATATAAATTTATTTATAAATTATAATATTTGAATAATTTGAATAATAAACGAATCAAATCTATTAATATTTGTATTCGAATTCGAAAATAATTCGAATCTAAAATATGATTTGTATTCGGATTCGAATTCGAATATAGCGAATACGAATCATCTTTTTCGAATACGAACCACGAATCGAATACATTTTATTTGATTTGTATGCACCCCTATTTGTGTGTGCACGAATATTAAGTGTTTGTATGTTTATATTTGTTTTGGTGTACATTTAGTCTATCTTCTGTGAGGTTTCCAAACATTATCTGTCATTGATATTATAAAATTTGTGTTGGTATATATGCTTTCCAAGTTAGAGAAAAAGCAAAGGATGAAAGGTTAGACATTAAATCACTTTCCTCTACAATACTAGTTGATCACCTTAAATTGAAAAATTCAAAAAAAAATGTCGTCAGTGTCTAGTCGATCACCCTAAATTTATGTTCAATGGATGTTATTATTTAACTAATTTAAGTTGGTTTAAATTTCACCAAACTCATATGACATTTATGCCTTATTTGGTTGAATGCTTATGACATTATACTTTTATTTATTACTAGTGTATCACCTTGCCATGCATGAGAATATAATATATCTATAATTATAGCAACAACATGATAATATTGCTTTGTTTATTTGTGAAATTAAATACTACAAAAATATTAAATTAACAAAATAGACCTATGCAAATAAGGATCCGGGCCAAATCTGGGCCGGGCTTGATATAAATTATTCGCCCATTTACATGGGCGGGCTTGGCCCGGCTCGAATTTGATGGCTAAATTCTTTACCCATACCCGCTCATCTTTGCGGGCCGGACTGCCTACCGGGCCGCCCGGCCCGGATAAAACATCAAGAATTTTTTTTGTAAAATTTTTTTTAAAAAAACATTGAACTCTTTTTTAATATTTAAAATAAAATAACTAGTCACCACATTTATATAGAAAGCCTAATACAGATATTATTGCATAATTAATAAACACATCATACTCATTCATTAAAAGAGTATTGATTTTTGTTTAAAAGAGGTGAGTGAATTAAACTATTATACATGAATTATAGAAAATTTTAAAATTTATTTTGGCTAGGTAATTAATAATAAAGTAAATATATTTGATGAATATGGGCGGGCCTGTTGGCCTAGATGGGCTAAAAGTAACTTCTAGGTCTGCCCATATACAATTCGGGCTTGGGCCGATCCGCCCATTTGGATATTAAAGGTTGTTCATATCCGCCCTTTTTAAAGGGCGGGCTGAGCGGGCCGAACGGGCCGACCCTTGTTTTCTAGAACATAACACTGTGAAATGTATTCCTTTAATATTGTTAACTTATACTCTCTTTTCAATAAAATACTTCATATTTCATTTTTTACATCCACCAAAAGACTTTCGATCCACTGTCTATTAAGAACCAAGCTTTAACTTTATTTTTTTTACCCTATCAATTACATCATATTTTTCACTAATAATATATCTATCACATCTTACTTTTACGAGTTACTCCGTACATTGATAGCAAAATTAGAAGTCTGATACGATCGTTGTGGATCGTACCGAGATAGGGAAGGCTTTGAGTGCCCCCGAACTCCAGAAAGCACGAGAATGAAGGGAAGGAGGGGAGATGCCGCAGCCGCTGAGAGAGGCGGCGTACGAAATGGGAAGAGGGAGGGAGAGAGGATTAGGGTTCTGTTATTAAACTTCTATTATTAATGATAATAGGGTTTATCTCTATTTATAGTGAGAGATAATCCAACCCTAAATTACTACGTTTTCTACCCTGACAGTTCAAGAAAAGCGACGAGGTAAAGAACCGTAAAGAAACCCTCGAAGGAGCTTATAAACCGCCCACCTAGGAAAATCTAAGTTACAATAATAAATAAACATCATGCCGTATAATCCTGTTGCCAAATCGGGGTCCGCCGAACCCTCGTGCTTCTACGTGCAACCACTATCGGGCTGTCTTGATCCTCACTTCCTGTTTCTTCAAGGGGCCTTTCGCTCGGTGTAGCTTGATCCGATAACACGATTGGTTGCTGCGTAACACTCTCCCCCGGATCAAAATCCACCTTGTCCTCAAGGTGGAGCTCGGGATATTGACGGGCTAGCATGTCGACGGGCTCTCACGTGGCATCGTTCACACCCCCATCGGACCATTCGACGAGTGCTTGGCGGACGTGCAGCGGCCCTACCAAGGTGGTGCGCAAGGCATGCACCCTAACTGGGTGAGATATGGGGCAGCCATCCACCAACTTGGCGGGCAGTGGCAGGGCCTGGATGGCAGCAGGGTCACCATGGAATGGACGGAGCAGTGATACGTGGAACAACGGGTGGAAGTTGTAGACGGTATTCCACCTCCCCCACACGTTTCGTGATAGGGAACGGACCATAAAAACACCGGGAGAGTTTTTGATTGCTTCGGCGAGCCACCGAATGTTACCGGTAGGGCTGTAATTTTAAGAGCACCAAATCACCTACCGCAAAAACAACGTCCCGACAGTGAGTATTGGTCGAAGCCTGCATGCGGACCTGTGCCTCATGGAGGTACTGTCGGAGACGTTGGAGGAGCGATGTTCGTTCGGTCAGGAGAGTATCCACGGCTGGAACATCACAATCTCCCGAAGCATAGGGCAACAATGTTGGGGGTTCTCGACCATACAGGGCCTGGAATGGACTCATTCGCAGTCCCGAGTGATAACTCGTATTCAGGGCGAACTCCGCCCATAGTAAGAGAATCGTCCAGCGTGCGGGTTTATCCATGGTGTAGGCACGTAAATATTGCTCCACCCCACGATTAGTAACTTTCGTCTGACCATCGCTTTGGGGATGAAATGCCGTGCTAATATGCAGGGTGGTGCCACTCAAGCGAAGCGCTTGTTGCCAAAAGCGACTCATGAAAATCCTATCTCGATCGGAGACAATGCTCTGTGGAAACCCATGGTGTTTGACCACAATATCCACGAAAAGAGACGCTACCAGTGGCCCATCGAAATCAGGGGGAAGAGGTCCCAGATGCACATATTTGGATAGGCGATCGACCACCACTAAGAGTTCAGTGTAACCCCTCGATGGCGGAAGCCCCGTGATGAAGTCCATCGAGATGTCGTCCCAAACGTGTTGGGGAATAGGCAACGGTTGTAGCAACACCGCTGGAGGTTGCGTTGAGTACTTGGTGGTCTGGCAGACAGTGCAAGCCTCGACGTAACGGTGCACATCGCGACGCATTCCCGTCTAGTAGAAATGCATGGCTAGCCGGGCGAAGGTGCGCTGGACTCCGAGGTGGCTTGCCAAGGGTGAGTCGTGATATTCGCGGAGGAGCCTTTGGCGGAGGGTGGAGTCCTTACCAATACAGACACGCCGGCGAAAGAACAACAAGCCATCGGAGATGGCGTAATCCGTGGGCAGGGAGCTTGACTCGGCGGCTTCATGTAATTGGCGGAGGTCGGGTTGGGACGTATTCTCCTGAAGAATATCAGCCATAAGAGTTGGTACTGGCCGAGATAGCTGGAGAAAGGAAGCCGCCAGCTCCCCCACTTCGTCCCGCCGGGACAGGGCGTCTGCAACCCGGTTGTTGGAGCCTTTTTTATACTCAATTCGAAAACGGAATCCCATAAGTTTTTGGACGTAGTACTGCTGATCAGGGGTCTGGACCACCTGGTGTAAAAGTTCCCTCAAACTTTTTTGATCTGTCCGTATAAGGAATTCGCGCCCTAGAAGGTAGTGGCGCCATTTATGCACCGATTCCACAATGGCTAAGAGCTCCTTATGATATGCGAAGGCTGCGAGGTTGCGGGGGCCCAATTTTTTACTGAAGTACGTGATGGGCTACTCGTGTTGGAGGAGTACCGCACCGATTCCCGTTGCACAAGCATCGGTCTCCACAATGAAGAGAACGCCGAAGTCGGGCAGCCGTAGGACCGGGGTTGTTGCCATGGCATTTTTAAGTGCCTGAAATGCCGATGTGGCCTTGTTCGTCCAACTAAAACCATCCTTTCGTAACATATCTGTGAGTGGGGCAGCTAGGTGAGAATAGTTACGCACAAAACGGCGATAGTAACCTGTTAGGCCCAAGAACCCGTGTAGGTGCCGCACAGTCCGAGGCGTTGGCCACTCCATCAAGGCCGTGATCTTGGCCGGATCTGCCCGGAGTTCTCCCGCGGCGATTATATGGCCCAGGTAATCAATAGACGGCTGCCCAAACGAACATTTGGAACGCTTGACGTAGAACACGACCGAAGGCAGGGCATCCAAGACGGACCAGAGATGTGCCACATGCTCTCCTATGATGGGGCTGCAAATCAATATGTCGTCCAAGAAAACCAAGACAAATCGCCGGAGATATGGTGCAAATAACTGGTTCATGCAAGATTGGAACGTCGATGGAGCATTCGTAAGGCCGAAGGGCATCACGAGGAACTCGTAGTGGCCTTCATGAGTACGGAATGCTGTTTTGTAGATATCTTTCTTGGCCATCCGGATTTGGTGATATCCCGAGCGCAGGTCCAACTTAGTAAAATAACGGGCCCGGCCAAGTTCATCAAAGAGTTCATCGGCCGTTGGGATGGGGAAGTGATTAGGAATGGTGACGGCGTTGAGAGCACGGTAATCCACACATAACCGAAATGTGCCGTCGTTCTTTTTAACCAAGAGTATCGGAGAAGAAAACGGGCTATGACTTAGCCGAATAATGCCTTGGTCCATCATCTCACGCACTTGGCGTTCAATTTCTGCCTTCTCATAGTGTGGATAGCGGTATGGCCGAACATTGACAAGAAAGGAGCCCGGTTGAAGAAATACTCGGTGATCAGCAAGGCGTCGTGGAGGCAGTCCATTGGGCAGTGCAAATAGGTCTGCAAACTCGGCCAATAACCCTTGCAGAGGCGTGGGAACCCCCTAAGTTGGGTCTCCCTGGGCGCCAGCTTCCTCGGCCAGAGAGGGAACCGGAACCATCTCATAGTAGGCCGTGATATACCGAGAAGATTGGAGACATTTAAGCATCGAGAAGGTGACGGGTTTAGGTGACGTATCGCCCCGAAGCTGGATCGGTTTGTCGTCCCATGTAAACTCGAGGGTAAGCTGGCCATAATCCTGTGACACTTTACCCAATAACTATAGCCACTGGACCCCAAGTACAATATCCTGCCCATGAATCTGCAAAACAAACAAATCCACTATAAACATGTGAGATTGCATAACAAGGGGCACGCCCATGCACTGGGACGTGTAGGGGAGGGCGTCGCCGTTCCCGACGTAGACCCGAAACGGCTCAACTACACGAAGTGGCAACTGCAAACGAGCCACAAGTGCGGGGTGGATGAAATTATGTGTACTCCCGCCGTCGATGAGCACCCGGACATCCTGATTTCCCACTCGACCGTCCAATCGTAGGGATCGTGGGGGTTGAAGCCCGGCGAAGTTATTCAAACTGGAAATATCGGCAGTGACAGCGATCTTATCCCCCAGGTCCGGTGTGTAACACCCTAATCCGTCCAGGTCTGCAGCCCCATTCGGACTAAAGTATTTAACTTGGTAATCGTAAAAATTTAAAACTTTTCAAACATACTTGATTAATCCCAATAATATTTTTCATAACATATACAGTACGGAGTATTCAACAATATTGCAGAAGCGATTTTAATATTGACATATCATAAATTGTTTCAAAACTTGTCACATCCATCCCGACAATCTCGCCCCATCTGCTGCCAGGATCACAGTGTTCTTTCTGTTGTACCTGCGTGTAGCAAATAAAACATACTACACGCTCAGCGGTAAAGCTGAGTAAGCATATCTAATGCGTCGAACATCCATATAAACTGAATCTAAATTCATAATCAATCATTTGATATCATGCACACAATGTTCATTTCAGACATTCACAGTTTTGGTATTGTTCAGTTCATATCAACACATTTTATTCAATTCAGATACTATTGCAATAGTGCTCTTAAATTATTCTTAATCTAAGGCCAGATCATAACAACGCTCTTAGCTATTCTTAGTCTAAGGCCAGATCATAATAATGCTCTTAGCTATTCTTAGTCTAAGGCCAAATCATAATTTCCATAATCGCATTCTTAAAAGGCAATTATTAATCAGACACTTAAACTATCATTAGTTTAAGGCAATTGATTTCGGACACTTAACTGTAGTGAGTTAAGGCAATAAGACACTTAAACTATCATTAGTTTAAGGCAAATGATTTCGGACACTTAACTGTAGTCAGTTAAGGCAACAACAATATAGCGACTGGTCAAACAATGGATCGGGCATCCCCAACGAGTAATCCTCTAGTTTGGTCTACGAATCCCGTTTATGAATTTATATCTAATTCATCAACTATTCATGTTTTCATAAGTTCATTCTAAGATCTATTCTAGAGGTCTTCTAGATAGTCTTAACATTAATTAGCTAATAAGTATATCTTAAAGTTCTTCTAGATATCCTTAACAACATTATTCATCAATTCATATTCTTAGTTCAACAATCATTTCATCCAGAATATTCATCATCATTAATCCATAATATTCATAAAAATGAACAATCAATCAATCATCATAATAACTAATAACAATCAGCGGCCTAGCATCGAGTGTTAACACCCTAGCTTACCGTCATGCATCACATAAGATCCCTTTTAGTTGTTAAATACCATCTTTATTCCAAGAAATCATCCTTTTATTAATCATAATGGTTTGGTATCAAAATATAGGATTCCATAACTCAAAAATCATATTTTCTAAATAACAATTGATTAATATATGATAGGAAATTCAATTATTAGCTATTAGCTTCATTTTCTTCAATAGTGTAGGGTGANCGATTATCACATTCTGATAATCGACTGTTGCTCAGCTTTGTTACAAAAATCTGCAGAACGATGAATAATCGATTTTCAAGTTGATAATCGATTATCCATCGTCTTCTACCTCGAGCCAACTTGCGGAAATGTCACTTTTACTCACCAAACTTCAATTAAAGTATATAAAAGTGTTCTCCAAGGTTCATAGATCATTTTGGCATCATTAATTCATAGTTTTAACATCAAAATCATGGTTTATGATTCTTAGTTCTTCAAACATGTCAACACAAAACTCAACCAAATGAACGTTTATGAACGTAAAATCGATCTATATGAACATTTTAGTCACTAGATATATCTACGGGCTTACCTAGAAGCTTAATGGAGGTTTTGGAAATTTTCCGGCGAAACTTCCGGCGAGTATTTCTCCCAACTCCAGCGACTTCACACCAAATTGACAGCACCACAACACTCCTCACACTTTCATGAACACTTAGGAAGAAGAATGAAGAAGAATGGTGAAGAAATGAGAAGGTTGGGTTCTCTTATATAATGAGAAGGAGAGAAGAAGAAAACAACTATTGTGACTCCACAATTCTGCGATCGGCGTAGTGGGGAAGGAGGCGCCGTCTAAACAGTTCCCTGATTGGGACCTATTTTAGTTCCAGTCGGGGTACACTTTTTGGTCCAACTTTCTCCAAATTGAAATCTGTTTGCACCGTTGCGATCAGACAGTCGAGCTCTATCCAACGATATACTTTTCATAATTATTTGTAATACTTTTTCCGGCATCATATTTTTGGGTGGTTGACTTTGACAGAGTCAAAATTGATTTGTTTGACCTTTACTATAAAAGGTGTTATATTCAATTCATATTATTTACTCTCATGATTTATTTCAATAAACCATTTCAAAGTAAACAATTTCTTTATTTATTTTTAATTTGGGTCTGTACTCAGGTTCCCAAACAAGATTACCCAATTAGTCAACATATTTGATTTTTTTTTTGAGACTTATCCTGATTTGTGATATGGGATATCAAAACATATTTTTATCGGCCCAAATCCCATAACAATTTATTTTAATCAAAACAAATTTGATTTATTTTAATAATTATTTATTAATAATTCTAAGGTATGTTTTGGGGCGTTACACGGTGTAACGTTGTCGTCGTCCTCGTCCGCCCCGCAGAGTATCAAGAAGCGGCCACACTTATGCGTGCGTGACCACTTTTGATCGCAATTGTAGCACAATCCTTTGGCGTCTTTGGCTTCCTTTTCCGCTAGAGATAAATGCTTATTGTGCCCGGGAAGTCCTGGTGGCGCTGGTTTTGGGGGCATTGGCAGCAAGGGGGGTTGTTGCGTTGGTTTGAAGCCGGGAGGACCCCCGCGCGCCAGTCCACTGTTGGAGCCGAAGGCTTGCCGTTGGTGAACCGAGTGAAGGAGAGCGGTGTGTTTGGCCTCGAGTTCCCGAGCCAATGTGAAGGAATCGAATAACGAGTCGGGCTTGAGCAAGGAGATCTCCTGTTGAAGATGGTGCTTTAACCCGGCATGAAAGAGAGAGACTAAAATATCTTCACTGGCGCCCGTAACATGTTGAAGTATCTTCTCAAATTCCTCCTGATACTCCATGACAGAACCCCTTTGCCGCAATTTAGCCAACTGGCCGAAGTAATCCACAAAGTGGTCAGGGTCAAAGCGGAGTTTAAACTTGTGCACGAAATCATCCCAACCATCAATCAACTTATTCTTCATGTGCCAACGAAACCAGTCGGCCGCCGGCCCTTCTAGCATGAGGGCGACACAACGAAGTCGTTCGCCCGGTGGCGTATCATAAAACTCGAAGTACTCCTTAACCTTGTAGAGCCAACAAAGTGGTTCCGATCCATCACACTTGGGTGATTCGAGCTTCAGCTTAGGTGTGTAGGAGGAGCCAGAACGCTCATAACCCTCGCCGCTGCCGGTGTGACATCGGGGAAAGTGTTGTCCGTCATGCCGATTCGAATATAGGGACTCGAGACGGGCATACTGGGCATCTAACCGGGAAGCGTGGGCTGTCAGGCGGGCGACGATTTCCTGTTGCAGGTGAGATGTATTTTCCCGCATGGCCTCGCGCAGCTCTTGTATGCCGGCAGCAAGCGCGACGAGTTGTTCTGCGAAGGCGGATGAATCTGCGGCCATAATAGCCTCAACAAGAGACCCGTTGATACGATCGTTGTGGATCGTACCAAGATAGGGAAGGCTTCGAGTGCCCCCGAACTCCAGAAAGCACAAGAATGAAGGGAAGGAGGGGAGATGCCGCAGCCGCTGAGAGGCGGCGTACGAACTGGGAAGAGGGAGGGAGAGGATTAGGGTTTTGTTATTAAACTTCTATTATTAATGATAATAGGGTTTATCTCTATTTATAGTGAGAGATAATCCCAACCCTAAATTACTACGTTTTCTACCCTGACGGTTCAAGAAAAACGACGAGGTAAAGAACCATAAAGAAACCCTCGAAGGAGCTTATAAACCGATCATCTAGGAAAATCTAAGTTACAATAATAAATAAATATTTTAATAATAAATAAACATCATTCCGTATAATCCTGTTGCCAAATCGGGGTCCGCCGAACCCTCGTGCTTCTACGTGCAACCACTATCGGGCTGTCTCGATCCTCACTTCTTTTTTCTTCATGGGGCCTTCTGCTTGGTGTAGCTTGATCCGGTAACACGATTGGTTGCTGCGTAACAAAGTCAATTTCAATTTAATTATTCTTTATTTTGGTATTTCTAAATATTTGACTAAATTTAAACACTTCATCATCTGTAAATGAGAAAACAAATTAACGTTCAAATCCAATCAGAATGCATTATGAGCACTAATGTATGCCCCCCCGGGTATATGGTGGAGAGAGAATGAGTGGAGATAAATATATGGTGGAGAAATGGATGGAGGCAAGGTTGGTAGCAAGGGTGGGGGGTGTGTAGCATGGTCCTTATTCATATGTCATGTTGTCTAGATTTTGATACTCTGATTGTCATCTCAACAATATTACTCTTTTTGTAATTATACTATTTTCAACAAAAGTTACATGGATGCAAGCTAAATTGTTTCTACCATGTTTGCTATTCGATTAGTGTTCGGTTCAAGATATTTTGTTCTAACATGAGCATTTTAAAAGTTGATTGTTATATATTTTTTAATTTTGACTTTTTGTAGTCAAAAATTATATTTGGTATGGATAAAAAATACTCCGTAGTTTTATTTTCTAAAATATTTTTAAAATGAAAAATATTTTTTATAGAATTAATATATCATGTTATTTATATTTAACTATAGATCAAATATTGATCCTTGTTAACTACAAAAAATAAAAAATAAATAAATACTCTAAGATAGAAGAAGTATTATTAGTAATTGAATTATGTGCTATGGCATACTCCCATCCATCCAAAAATTTCATGCCCACTTTCTTTTTGTAACCATGCTATACTTACACCTAGGGTGAGCATGGTACGGTATAGTACGGTATTTAGCCCATACCGATACCGTACCAGATATTTTGGTTCGGTATGGGATTTTACTTCGTACCAATCCCGATCCCGATATATCGGTTCAGTATGGTTCGGGATGGTTCGGTATCGGTTTCGGTACAAATCGGGATGAATATACGTACCTACTTTACACCTTAAAATTTAACAATGCCCCTTTATTTTTGAAAATTAAAATTGAATTTAAATAAAAAAACGTGAAAAATTAAAAAAATGAATATTTAAATGCAATGGATGCGTATCAAAACTTAGTTTATACGGAGTATTTCACAAACTAAAAAATGAACGACAACAAAGGGTTTTTCGAATCTTTGTGAATACTTTTAATTATGTTCATACACAAAAACTAAAACTCAAATTAAAGTATAACTTACACATGATAAAACTTAAACCAAGTTTTTTTTTAAAAAAATTATTATTTAGTGAAGGAATATGAAAAACATTACTCCGGGGTATTATTTTTATAATATTTTAGTATATATGTTCGGTTCGAGATTTTCAATATGGTACGTCACCTCGTACCGTTCCCAAATACTGTACCGACCATTCGGTTCGGTACGATTCGGTTTCTTCTCGGTACTTTTTCGGTTCGGTATTTTTTAGTTCGATATTCTCAGTTTTTTTGGAAAATTTCGTTATCGGTTCGGTACTTGCTCACCCCTACTAGTAGTTACACTAAAATTTGTACCCCAAATTAACACCAAAAGTATACACCAACATTTTGATAGTTCACACTGACCTAAAGTGTTGGTGCATTAATAAAAATTTGTACTGACAGAAATGTTGGTGCACACTTGCAGAGTATACATAGGATAAAAATCCTTGGAGTGCAAATAACTTTACTCTTTTTTATCTAAAGCACTCAAATAGCACTAATGTTCATGTTTTAGTACGTACTTAGGACTCCTATTTAGATAAGTAATTTGCGGCATTTAGTGTGATGTGCAATTCCAGTTTTGTCCCTGTAGTTTTGGGGTTGGATAAGTACGGTCCAATTTGTTTTTTTTCCCGGTATAATGGCATGGTGTTTCGGACGCAGTGTGATGCTTATATATGAATGGGGCTATTTGCAGTGTATGGTTGGTTTTTTCGTTTGGGGGATTGTGCAGTGTATATATGAGTAGATTTTTAGTTGTTTGTTTGAGAACCGCCATATCACTGATTGCATGGTTATGGTGTTTTCACACTGCCATCGTATGGCCTGGGATAGAATGATGTAGTGTCATGGTTGATGTCTCGTTGGCTGTATATTGGTTTGGCGTGTCATGTTGTTGGCAGTGTGGTAAAACAAATTGCGCAGTTGACGGATGAAACCAAATTTGAAAGGGTAAAATGGGGATATTAATCATGAGAAACACGGTTGAGGTGCTATAAAGGTGTAAATAGGATGGGAGTGTTAGATATGTATTTTCTATTTGAAATATTTGCACTAAATAGCACTAAAACTTAAGTCATTTCCCTATATAGTACTTAAACTGTTTTATTCCCAAAATAGCACTTAATAATGTCCAGTGATGGCGAATATTTGCTTGAATAATGACTAATGCATAATGACTAAAAGTGCTGCATTAGGAAGAAAAACACATGTGGGGCTATTTAGAGAAAGTCATTATGTTTTAGTGCAATTTAAGTAAATTCCTCTTTCTATTTCTTAATGGTGCTATATTGGATGATTTCTATAGTTATTTTTGATCTTCTATCATGTTAGAGTATCATTCTTGTCGTACACTATTCCAAAGGTCGGTTCTTATGTATCGTTTGTGAATTGCAATAATTTTCTATTACAACTATAATCTACAAATGTGGTCTTTCGTCATAATCTTAGTCCACACTCATAGCCGTTATTGTTGTATTGTCCTTCTAACCGACATCAAAATATGTCATTCGACATATGATTAGGGTGTTACATTTTTTCTGCAGATCAAAGCTAAAGTTTATAAACTTTGACTAAGAAAAATATCAAATTAGAAGATTAAATCTAGATGAGGAGAATATGTATTTAAAATTTACATTAAAAAAATCTACAAAATTAGACTAAACTATTTTATGAAGTGAGAATTATAAATAAATAAACAATGTGAATAAAGTTTGAATATGATAATAGTGAATCAGAAAAAAATTATGAATAGGGGGAATATAAATTAAGTGAATAATACAATATAAAAGAAAACATTTTTCAAATAAAGCTAACTTGTGTTCGCTGAATACAGGTTTATTTAGGATAGGTAAAAGTTAGAAATATTTGCACTAAATAGCACTAAAACTTAAGTCATTTCCCTAAAAACACTTAAATCTTTTTATTCTATAAATAACACTTAATAATGTCCATAATGTCCAGTGATGATAAATATTTGCTTGAATAATGACTAATGCATAATGGCTAAAAGTGCTACATTGGAAAGAAAAATACATGTGATGCTATTTAGAAAAAAATCATTATGTTTTAGTACTATTTAAGTATATTTCTAAAAGTTAGGCATATAGGGTAAAGAGAAAGAGAAAGTAACTACTTGTAATATGTATTTGTTGAACACAAGTTCAATCTTGAATGTCTTCCCTTCTTGATTTAGCAGCAATGACAACTATTTATTTTAAAACGGAAAGAGTATTTATTTTATTTATTATTTTTATATTAATTTCAAAATTCATACATTTTTCAGTCAAATTTCCCTCCATGGGATGGGAGGCACACTAGCGTTCATCCCGCGGATCTGAACGGCTCATTTGTTCGGCGATCATGGGTCGTGGGGGCTTTTCCAGCGGTGGCAAAGGAAGAGGAGGAGGTAAGGAATCGAGAGAAAATTTTCATGAAAACAAAGGATTTTCATTCCAACCCATCCCAGAATTACAACCCTAATTGATTTTACTGTGGTAGAGTTTTCATAGCCATCGTCCATTCGATTTTATGCTCCTATTTTGTGTTATTCATTCCTCTTCCTTTTCTCTTTAAAACGCAGGATCTCGTCCTGCCTGCCGTTCAAAGGCATCTCGCGATGCAGAAGGTAAGCCAAAATTTCTTTATTTTTCTTTTTTCTGTTTATCTGAAATGCTTGCTTTCTCTTATTAAACATATTTTAATTATTATCCTACTCTGTATTACTTTGATTATCATACTGCTCTTTTAGGAAGATGTGGACTTACAACCATGAAATACTGTCACAAGGGGTATGAAAGATGTTTGGGTCTAGGTTTATGAAGCTCTTAAGCTCAACACAATGGTATCCCAATTCATATTGCTTACTCATGTAGTGGAAACAACTTAATTCCTTTCTAAAAGCAGTAGAAATCCATATTAGGGGTTAACAGATTTCATGCCAATGTGGTTACACTTGTGATCATAAGGTAGGATCTGTAGCGGGTATAAAATTTTACATCACGGATCTTAACTTGGAATTTATAAAGCATCTAAAAATTTAAAATCAAAAGTTATGCACATAACATTCAAATTTGTGAACAGCAAAGTGTGTAGCATGACTCTTAATCGTAATTTTCATAATCATAGCATCCAGATCCGTGAACATCCAAATAAAAGCTTCAAATAAAATCTGAACTCCAGATAATTGTTGGGAAGTCTGCACAGAGGAGAATAGTGTTTTCTGCGCAGAGTAATAGTCTTTTGTGTTATACCCGAGAGCCGGGGTCTTATCACGTTGCTATTTTAGAGAAGGAATTATGGGGGGTGAGGGGGAAATGGGGTGGCCGAAATATTATGGGGCAAAAGGGGAGTTCTTTTGGTGTTTTTTTATGAAGAAAAAGAAGTGGTTTAGGAATAGAATATGGGGAGGCACGAAATGGGGGAATAAAATTGGAGTGGATAAACCAAGTTGATGTTAAGAGATATGACACACTCTTATCTTAACTTGGGGTTTCAATCTAGAATTCAAATAAGATATTACACATTTATTTAAATATCTAGAACCTAAAACTCACACTTAAGATAACCACTCTTAAGATATAGAATTAGGAATTTGGCTTAAATAGCATCACACTATCTAAAATATACTCAAAGAGTAATGTTTTAATTCATTAAAAAAGCTGCCTTACAACATGGCCCTAAGGCCGAACTATATATGGAGGGGAAAGTGGGGGGGGGGGGGGGACACACAATACAATTAATCATTAATTGGACATAAGGAAGCTTCCTAGCAAATATTCATCAGCCCCTCATGTCTTCTAGGTAGGGAGAAAATTCAGAGATGATGCGTGGTTGTGGAGCTCCATTCTCGGCCTTTAGTGCATGGGAAATGTTTATGTGAATAATACCCATACTTTGGTTGGTTTTTTGGGTAATATATTCTCGGCCAAGTGGGGGTAAAAGAGAGGGAAGGCCGGCTGTTCTTTTGGAGGTATTTCTTGGGTGTTTATGTAGAGAATAAGAGAGAGGTGATTGAGTTAGTGGTGGGCCAGGGTTGTGCAGCTTTGTTGGGGAACAAAAGGGGGGACAGAGGCAGGTCTCTTACATGGAATAAGAGAAGGGTTTTGGCTGGTAATGGTGGGTTTATTGTGTGAAATAAGGGAGTGGTTTTGGCCTGGTATCCTCGGCTCTCAAATGAGAGAATTGAAGTGTTTTGTTTGGTTGTGGTTTATGCAAAGAACTTCTGTCAGGGGTGTATTAGGGGTGATATGGGGTTCATGGGATGCCCTAAGTTTGGCCAAAGAAAGAAAGGAAAAAGGGAAATAACAACAAACAAAAGGTTTTGGTTCACACTCTTATTTTCCCCCATAGGCTAAAAATAAGTGTAGGAAAACATTATTTTGAAAGGAATTAAATGACAAGAAACTTTGGATGTTTAGGGAAGGAATGGGGGGGGTGTTTTTTCGGCCTAGGTGGGGTGTAGGACAGCCCTGGTGTTGGTTTGGGCTTTAGGGAAGGGCAAAGGAGTGGATTCAACCCTAATAACGTCACCACACTTTGGATTTATTCCCCTGATCCGTCTTTCCTTTTGTGGGCTAAGGAAAGTCTTCGTTGATGCTCCCGGATATCTAACATTTTGTTCACAAAGAAAAATATTGATGGCTATTAGCTTGAATGGAAGAAGTCTTGATTGGGTAGAAGAACACAAAGGCAAAAGGCAAGAGGAAGGTATGATAGTTCGCAAGCCAACAACATGTTCCCCAACAGAAAGACAAATGAGCTCTTGGCTTCACCAACTTGACCCATTGACCATTTGTGAAGATTAAAAGAAAGAAAGAATCACATAGAAATCAGCTGTTAGGGTGACCGAATGTGATTATCTTTTTGGTTCATGTATCCGACCCCAAGTTACTTCGGATGAAATTTTTTGTTTAATCGTTTTAAAGTACCTCTGTCCCATTGTTTTTGGGACATGAGTATGTGATGCACAGTATTAGAAGTTAAGAATTATGAATTTGATATTGAAGCTAATAACTAAGAAAAATAAGAAAGAGTATGAGTCACATAAATGTTTCTTAATATAGTGAAGTGCAAAGATAGTAAGATGAAAAGATTTAGGCAAGTATTGGTGAAAAATGAAAGTAGTCGCATGAAGGGAGTAGTATTTAATTTCTTACTTTTCCAGTTAGCTTTTCAGCTTTACAAAACGAGGAAGAAGCACAAAGTATTAGTGTTTGTCTTATNTAGGAATAAATTAGTACTCCGCCGGCTACTTGGTAATGAAAGTAAGAGTGGATGGTCCTTGGTGCAATATCTGTAGAGGGTGCAAATGGAAAATATATTGGGAGCTGGGGTATATATTTTCGTCTTCTTGTTCATCCTCTCTTCCCATGCCATAGTAGTCTCCTCTCTCCCTCTGTACCCGATTAACCTTATTGCCTTCTCTCCAGTGAAATAAAAAAAATGAAGAATTGGTTCAGGTTTGGCGCGATAAGGAAGAGGATGGGAGAGTGGGCGAAAGAGGGTGGTGGTAAAAACAAAAACATTGCCCAAAAGATATGGGACGTTCTCTTCAAAGCCGGCCTAATAGCGGAATTGCTAAAGGGGCTGCTCAAATGAGCGGTGCGGTGGCTGCAATGAGGAAACATGGCCCGAAGAAAACTCTGGAGAGCATTTGGTCGGATCAAATGCTCTCCACAGTTTTCTCCGGACCATGTTTCCTCATTGCAATCACCGCACCGCTCATTTGAGCAGCCCCTTCAGCATTTGGCCGGCTTTGGAGAGAACGTCCTATATCTTTTGGCCGATGTTTTTGTTTTTACCATCACCCTCTTTCGCCAATCTGCCATTCTCTGCCGTATTGCGCCATACCTGAACCAATTTTTCATTTTTTTTCACTGGAGAGAGAAGGTAATAAGGTCAGTCGGGTGCGGAGGGAGAGAGGAGACTACTATGGAATAGGAAGAAAGGATGAACAAGAAGATGAAAATATGTGCCCCAGCTCCCAATATATTTTCCATTTGCACCCTCCCTTTATAGATATTGCACCAAGGACCATCCACTCATACTTTCATTACTGAGTAGCCGGCCGGAGTACTAATTTATTCCTACTCTCTCCCCATTTTTGTTACAAATTGGGAATTGTTATGATTTTTGATTTTAGGGCATATTTAAGAAAAATAAAAAATATAGTTGATTTTTCGAAATTGCCATTACTTTTTAAAAGGGGTGATGATGAATGAGAAGATAAAGTGAAGAAAAGTGACTTATTTTAGAGGTCGTTTAAGTATTTTATTTTTAAAAGTTGAGGGAAACAACTAACAGGCAATTTATTTTGGGATGGAGAAAAAAGCCAAACAGGCAATTTAAAATGGGACGGAGGAAGTATAAAATTGCACAACTTTTTAAATTATTTTAAAAATGTATTAGAAACAGTTATATTTTATTGCTACTTATGTTTAAAATACAAAGTACTAGTATCTTGTAAATTATGAAATTTTAAAAAAGCTAAAATTAAAATAAAAATCTTATAGAAAACATGATGTAAAATTAAAATTCATGACAAGAAAAAATGAAATTATGTAAATAAGATAAAATTTTATTTTTTAAAAAAATGATTTTTGTGTCAATTACAAAGTTAATCGTGGATAAGAAAAAGTTACAAGTTAATTTGGAAGTCATACGAAATATTGCATGTACAATGGAAAGTCAAAACTAATAAGCTTTATAGATGAGTTTTATCATTTAGTTTCATGAAATTGCAAAGAAAATAAACATTAAAACTCATCCATGAAGGTTATCGGTTTCGAATTTAGGTTCTACCAGTTCGACAAATAATTGTGAGAAGAGTGATGCTTTTGGTTTTGGGTTCAAAGCTTCAAACTCAGCAACGGGTTTGGGAAAGGAGTGCGATGAGAGGGAGGAAACTTAATTAATGAGAGAAATGAGTGTGAATTTACAATTTTTTTCCACGTTCTTAGCGAAAATGTTAACAAAGTAATATTCGTTGAAATGAATCTAATAATTGAGGACTAAATTGGTAATATTTGATATATATAGACTGAATATGTAAAATGACCTATAACTGGAAATTTTTATAGAATTTACACAAATTTAATGCAACATTTGTACGTTTTTGTTACTCAAATACAAGCGCCAAGCGGGTGCACTAATATGATCCATGATTCCACAACTTTCATGCAACAATGTCTTCTACCATGATGTCATAAGTACTACTATTGTCGTTAAATAAATAAAATGAAATTTACATTAAATAGCATTAAAGCATAAGTCATTTTCCAATGTAAAATTTAAAACATTTTATTCCCTAAATAGGACTTTGGCTCCGTTCCGTTCAACTTATTTTTATTGATCTGATCTGATTTTAATAAGTTCTGATATGATCTGATTGGATCTGATCTGATTTGATTGTATCTGATCTGATCTGATTGTATCTGATCTGATTATCTATGATTTAATTTAAAATTTCAAATCAATAATTTGATTTGACTTTATAATAACGTTTGAAAATTGTAATGATAATTCATATTATAATATAATCAATATTTTTTATTTAATGATTATTTTTTAATAAAATAAAAATAGTTAATTCATATATTAGAATAATCATTCATATTATAATGTAATAATACTTTTTATTTTATGATTATTTTTTGTGAAATTAGAATATTAATTTAATATTTTAATAATTACTTCATATATACATTAGAATAAATATTTAATTTAGATATACATTAAAAAGTAATTAAATTTATATAATCAATATATAGAAGAGATAGTATTTTTATTAAAATATCTCATCCTTATAAAAGATCAAAACTTTAGAAACTAAATTACAAGTAGCAATAAAAATATATTTTAAAAGTACAATTAGATTGACATTGTCAAAGTATTTTAAAATTAATTTTTCTAACGTCTAATAATAAAGGATTACTTTCTCAGTTTTCTATTTAACATATTTCTAAAGTTTATTCTTTTTCATTTTTAAGAACAACAACAACAATAATAATAATAATTCTTGATGGGATCTGATTTTAATAAGTCCTGATCTGATTGGATCTGATTCGTTCTGATCTGATCCGATCCGATCTGATCTGATTCGATCTGATCTGATCTGGTCTGGTCTTAATAAGAATAAGAAAAAATAAGTTGAACGGAACGGGACCTTAATAATGTTTAGTAGGGGAATAATAATGACCAAAAGTCCTACTAGTGCGTCATGTGGCGAATCCCGAAAAATATTATCGGGGCTAAAGTTAGGCCAGAGAGTAGGGTGGGGGTTCGGGGGGCAATGCCCCCGTTTTTAAAAGAAAAAATATAGGGTTCACAAAAAAATGGTCACAAAATTTACAAATTCAGTATTTGTGAACTTAAAAAAATTAAATAGTCTAAATTAGTTTTAAAATGAAAATTTAAACCACAAATGGTAAGTTTGTGATCATTTCATTGGTACCACCCGGTAAGTTCACAGGCTCCCAAGAGGTACCAAAGTATGATCCCACCTGACCTCACCGACCCGTAAACTGACTGGGTGGATGTCAGGGGTCAGACATGTAGGATTGTGACTTCATTCGCAGAAAGCTTAAAGTCTGACCAGGCTTGACCTTACCATCTCCGTTAATCTAACCGGGTGGATGTTGGGGGTTAGACCGATAAGATCATGACTTGAAGACTGTCCGAGTGGATGACTATATGACTGGCCGGCTTGAAGACTATCCGGGTGAATGACTTGAGATGAACAATAGTGTTGAACAATGTATTTTCTATAATTATAAACTAGAGTGAAAGCCTCGTAAACAAGGAGGCAATTAATAATTCACACGGCTTGTAAACTTGTAATTGATTCCTACATTATTAATAATTACCCGGGTTACAGGTGATCCCACCTATAATCCTTTCTCTTTTCATGACTTAGTATTACGTTGGTTTTACACCATCACAGTGGCAGATCCCGAAAAGAATATTATCGGGGCTAAAGTTAGCCCATAGAGTAAGGGTCTGTTTCGCAGGACTTATTTTTTCTACTTATTACTTATTCTTATTAAAATCAGATCAGATCAGACTCAATTAGATCAGATCAGACTCAATCAGATCAGATCAGATCCAATCAGATCAGATCAGATCCAATCAGATCAGATCAGATCCAATCACATCAGACCAGATCAAATCCAATAATATCAAATCAAGAAAAAATATAAAAGATAATAATTAGTTTTGATTCAACGATTAAATAATAATTACTATTATTTGATTAAATCACATTACTTTATTTAAAACTACACTACACACACTTAAATCTTAATTAATGTTATAACTTTAAATATTATTTTTTTTATATTATTATTATTATTATTATTATTATATTTCAACTACAAATCATTATTTTAAATAATTGTTTAGCTTGTAGGATAGAAATGATGCATGGAAGCAATGTTTTTTTTAACTGAATGCAAATAATATTTTTCATACTTTAAAAAGATTTATTTTAAAATACTTGTTTATAAAATAATTATACAAAACTTAGTTTTCAAAACTATAAATATTTTATACTTAAAAAGACTTACTTTTAAACTTTAAGATGGTATAATATACACAAGAGTGAATTTATGACAAAATTGATAGAGGTGAAAGTGATATTAGTGTTTAAAATTTTATATGATCTTTAATTTGTAACATGAAATATATTACCAGTATTATGTAATATGCATATACAATGTGATATTTTTGTAGAATAGCATCAATATTTTCTAATATTTGTTTATTTTAATACCGATTATTTAGTTTTCACAAAAATTAAAAAAGTTGTGATATTGAAAAGATGTTTAATATTTTAAAAAATTTTAAAGATATTAATGACTAGCTGATTTTTTTATTTTACTTTTTTATGTATATATGAATTGTAATACTTTAAAACTATTAAATTTTGTAATAATTTTAAGTTTAATTTAAATCAAATTTACATTCATTTACACCAGATCTAGTCGGATCAGATCAGATCCAATCAGATCAGATCAGATTCAATCAAATCAGATCAGACCCAATCAGATCAGATCAGACCCAATCAGATCAGATCAGACCCAATCAGATCAGATCAGACCCAATCAGATCATATCAGATCCAATCAGATCCGATCAGATCCAATCAGATCAGATCAAATCTAATCAGTTCAGATCAGACCCAATCAGATCAGATCAGATCAGAACTTCAAAAATTTAGATCAGATTCAATCAGATCAGACGTACGGAACAGAGCCTAGGGTGGGGGTTTGGGGGGCAATGCCCCCGTTTTTAAAAGAAAAAATGATGTGTTCACAACAAATGGTCACAAAATTTACAAATTTAGTATTTGTGAACTCAAATACAAAAAATTAAATAGTCTAATTTAGTTTTAAAATGAAAATTGAAATCACAAATGGTAAATTTGTGATGTTTGTGATCATTTTATTTGTCAACCTAGCATCACTCTTTTTTAAAGTGATTTATAATGATGAAAAATAAATAAATATAATTTCAAATAAGTACTCAAATTAGTAACAATATATTTTTAAATTACAAAAATATAATATAAGATACTCCCTCCATCCCAAAAAGTCTGACACGTTTCGAAAAAACTGCGTCCCGTAAAATCCGTTACATTTCTATTAGAAAACCACTTTTACCCCTTACTTTTTCATACCCTACCTATCACATCATACCTTTTTCCTAATAATCTATCTATCACATCATACTTTACCCATCACATCAAAGGTATTTTTGGAAAGTCAACACCAAAATATCACTCTCTTAATTTCTCAAAAAGTCAATATTTACCAATTTTTTTAGGACGGGGGGAGTATATCATAACTTAATTTAATTATGATTTTTCAAATATTTTATATATATATCTTATTAAAGTGATTATTTTTACTTTTAAACTCAGATTTCTTTTGGCATTGGGATGCTTTTTTTTTAATTTTTAACGCTATATATTAAAGAAAAAAGTTTACAAGGGGCAACTGCCCCCATATTCCATCATTTAGATCCGCTCATAGTGCTATTTTCATAACTTGTGTAACGTTGTTTTGCAAAAAACATTTGTATTGAAATATACGGAGTACTTCACAAGTTTTTGTAGTGCAATCTTGGAAAAAATTAAGAGTAAATTCTATAATTGGTCCTTTATAATAGATAGGTTTCCCTATTTAGTTCTCTATTATTAAATATTACATCAATGGTCCTTCTTTTATGGGTATCTTTCAATGAATAGTCCTTTTTTGATTTTCTATCATGTTGGTGTTAATTTGAGGGCTAAAAGTGTAATTTCACAATGATAATATATCTTTTTTTGTCATACACAATTCCAAAGGCTCATCTGTTTGCGTCGTTTGTGAATTACAGTCGCTTTCTATTACAACCATAGTCTACAAATTTGGTCTTTCGTCAAAATTCTAGCCCACAATCATAGTCATTATTTTTGTGTTATCCGCTTAACCAATATCAGAACACGTCACTAGACATAATGTTGATGTCAAATTATACTTTTGACCTTTAAATCAACACCAACACGGCAAAAGATCAAAAAGAAGACCATTTGTGAAAAGGTATCTTTAAAAGAAGGACTACAAGGGTAATATTTGAAAAAAAAGATTGTAGTGAGGTATTGGTTCCATTTTGTAGAGTAATTCATTGTGCAATTTCATAACTTTTTTATTATTTATTTGAAAAAATAATTATTACCAGAATATATAGACTGCGCAACTTCATTGTATGAATACCATATATATAGTCCCTTCAACTTTCCATTCAAATACATCTCATTTTAACCCATATAATACACACATGACATTAGAACTTTAACTTACACTCTCATTTCATTCTTTAACTACTCATCAAACAACTGTGATTGTAGTTTGATTTCATTTCTGTTTTCTCCAAATAATTTTTCTTTTAAAGTTCCAAACTTATACTCTCCTTGGTCCAAATTTTTTTCATGTTTTAATTTTTTTAGTCAAATAGTGACACTCGTTGACCACAAATTGTGAGAAAATTATGATATAAATTTGATATAATTGAGTTCATGTTAGAATATAATATAAATTTGACATATCAAATTCTATATAATTTATTTATTTAGATTATGTTTAAGTTATGGTTAAAGAATGTCATTATCTGATCAAAAAAATCAAAATAAAAAATATTTTTAAGACCTAAAAGAGTATAGTTTTTCTCAAATTTTACAACTCATATCGAATTTCCAAAATTGACCAAACAAACCCTATAATTTTGGGACCTAGGTTAGATTGTGTTTGTCACTCTATTAAAAGGAGTATAATAAAAATGGTACTCCCTCCGTCCCAAAAAGATCTTCCTGTTTCATTTTTTGTGCATCCTATAAAACACTTCTATACGCATCTAAAATGCCTAAAATTTACCACATTTCTCATTTATTGTAAGTAGAAGTTTTTTTGAAAGTTTTTTTTGCATTTGAGACGGGATAGAAGTGTTTTATGATACGCGCAAAAAAAGAAATAGGAAGATCTTTTTGGGACGGAGGGAGTAGAAAACATATAAGCATGCATGGAGGAGACAAACATGCTCTCCTAACATGAGTAGAAATTAGCGGGCCGGGGAAGACAAATATGACCCTTTGATGCGGCATGGCACCTTCTATTTGGGCCGGGTATCACGTGCCGGATCTGGAGATTCCCCATCATTTACTCATCATTTATCATCTCCCCTTCTTCAAATCCGATCCATTTTTTTGGAAGAACTTACTGTAATAATTATTCCCTCCATCAATCTTACATTGACTTCCCTTCTTGTTTGGACCTCGGCCCCATTTAGATTTGGTATTAGTAGTTAATCTTAACGTTTTAAAAAATTATTTAATAGTAGCTTTTAAAATTATTTTACATTATTTAAAATTTTTCTAAAACGCTAACACTAGTCGAAAATATTGTTCCCCAAATATGACATTAACAATTTATATATCAATCTAGTATTACTGCTCAATGTCCACGTATTGGACATTGTTTAAGTAAACGTTTCAAGTCATTGGACATTGTTTAAATAAATATCTGCTGTCACTGGACATTGTTCAAGTATTATTTAGGGAACAAAAAGTTTTATGTAGTACATTAACAAAAGACATACCCCCCGTCCTGTTAAATATATATAATATATTTAATATTATTATATTATTATTGTTACCATATTTGTATAGGTTTCCTAGATTGTCTCTCCTACCATATTTAGGATTGAGACTTTTTGTATATATACATTTACTCTCCTCACAATTTAATCAATGAAAATAATCTTTCTTCATGGTATCAGAGCCTAACCAAAAAACCCTAATCTCCCCTCTCTTCTTTCGGCCTCCCTCCTCCTTCGCCGGCGCCGCCGCCCTCCCTCTCTTTCTCTCTCGGCCGGCCACCTCCTCCTTCCTACCATGACCGAAAGTGAGATCACCTCTCAGTCTACCACCCAAAAACCTCCCCATCTGGATTTCTCTGTCTCCAACGTAAAGTTACATGTCCCTCTCCAACTCAGTTTTTCTCAACCAAACTATAAAAAGTGGCTCCGCCTGTTCCTTCTTCTTGCACGACGGTTCAATCTCCATGGCTATCTTGACGGCTCCATCGTTCCCATCTCCGATAACGATGATGAATGGTTACAACTTGACGCCATTCTCCAGGGTTGGATTCTCTCCACCATCACGGATGAAGTCTCTGATCTGGTTATTTCCTCCGTCTCTACTGCCTCTGCTCTCTGGAAGATGATTCACGATCTGTTTCATGATAACAAACATGCTCGCGCCATGCAACTCGAGCACCAATTCCGCACCACGGTCAAGGGATCCACCCCCATGGCCACTTATTGTCAATAACTCCGAAATATTGCGGATTGGTTGGACGACGTCGACGCTCCCGTCTCAGAGCACCAATTGATTCTTCAGATGCTACGCGGCCTCCCCGATGATCTCCAGGCTCAGACCTCGTTCCTCCAATTTCAGGATCCCATGCCGAGCTTTCTTCAGGTCCGGTCGGCCCTCCTCCTTCTTGACCGGCAACGGACCCCCCTTGGGCAGCACCAGCACCACGGCGCTGCTGGTAGGGCATGGCGGCAGCGGCTACACCAGCGGACAGCACAACGGCAATGGCGGGCGCGGATCCGGCAGCAACTTCGGCAGTGGGGGGCACCTTTTTGGCAGCAATTATGGTGATGGTTCCTACTCCGGGCAGCGTGGTGGCTTTGGACGCGGACAAGGGCGTGGCAACGGCAACCGGGGCCGTGGTCGCGGGCGCTCAAACGGCGGATCGAGACAGCGACCACAACCGGACGGGCACAATACCTGGAACTCACCGTACCCAAACCCTAGCCCCGGGGTGCTGGGTCCTCGGCCCGCCCCCGCCCACTACCCATACCCTGCCCATGCCTATTTAACTACCCCACCCCCCAACCCGACCCACTACCCACCC